TAAAGTGCGATACGGAAAAAACACAAAAGTTAATCTTGCGTAACATATCACCAAAAGTAAGCCCTATTTGCTACAGAAAATAATGAAGACTACTGCAGCAAAAAAATGTATTGTTTGATGGGGCACCGGCTAAATTGTAAAATTGGATGGGGTCAGCCCACGAATACTGAATAGTCTCTGTATATTATGTGTGCATCAAACTGTCATAGCATACGTGCTCGAGCTTCATTATTAGGGGATGGGCTCGCTGCCTACAATTCGCATCCATGCAGTCACAAACCTTAAACCATAAACCCTGAACCCTAAAACCTGAATCCTCGACCCTGACAGCAGAGGATCTCAGGAACTCTGCTGGGCAGCGTGCACTTCAAATCTGTCATCGCTGTGCGTGCGCCTGCCAGCCAAGGGCACTAGATAATTTCGGAAGTTGAAGCCCAGCAAGATCCTGGTAGTTGCCCAAAACAAAGTCAGAGATATACCAGCGACATCTTGTAGCCTGCGCCAAAACGGAAGAATTATTTAGAAATCCCTTGTTTGAGAGGCGGGCTGCGCGAGCTTTGTGACTTTGAAGTTCATGTAGCTGGCTTTCCCCAGAACTAACACGAAACTCCGAAAGGGGGCGCTTTCAAGACTATACGGGCGTACATGGGGCTCCATGCTAGTTGGGTCGGATACTCAAATTCTGTTGTGTGGTAATGTTGGTTTCTGAAACCAAGGAAGTGGATAGGCGTTGTCGGGTAGTTTTGGTAGTTTCCGTAAACGGCGCGCTCCAACATAGACCCCAAAACACTAAAATCCGCCTTAGTAGTGAGACCTCCAAACAGGGAGCCCCACAATTTTGGAAACCCACAGAATGGTGATGTTTGGGGACGCAAGAAACACCCTCAACCGTGCCCTGTCTGTGCTACAGAGATCTTGGGTCAAAACCGTTGCCCTAAAACACAAGGTCATAACATCTAATAACTGTGGGGATCATTACTCTTGGGGCTTTGTTAAGGAGTTGAGGGTTGAGGTCTAGTACATGCTCCAATCGCGCCATCACTGCACCATCTCTGTCAACACAACCCCTCAGGCTCTTCACTTCTGCAATTGATGGTCATGGGAAATTACTTGAAGAAGGGCCCATGCAGGGTGTCCTTAAACGGAAGACTTGGTGAGGTAGGGTTTCGGCTAGCGTGTATGCTCAGTAACAACTCCCTCCTCAAACTGCCCAAGCGCGCCGAAAAAAACACGGCAAGGCTTGCTGGGGGGAAGTATGGAAAAGGGAATCTATGCTATGAGCTAGAGTCTAAGCTCCAAGTATCCCCCTTAATAACCCGCATAATACTCCCCCTATAGACTCCGCTATATAACCCCCTTGAAGGAGATTGACGACAGCTGATAGAGGGATCATATTCCCTTACACTTTTTCCCTACCTAAACCCTAAGCCCTGAATAGCAGTTTCCATTTTCTTTTCCATTATCCCTACATACACTTATATATCATACTCCTGTACTCCCTTATTGCCTACTAACCCCTAGACCCTTAACCCTAACCCCCAGTAAGTCAGCGTCCCACCTGCAGCATCGACTAGCACTGGGCACCCCGCTTTGGGGGCATCGTGCTTTTCTTCAGCAAAAAACCCTTGGGCTGCGGGAGCCAGGCAAGAAGCACGTGTGTATATATATATATATGTATATATATATAGGGCTATAGGGCTTACGCTTTAGGGACTGTGTATACAAGAAGATATACATACTACATGGGGGGACATCGCGTAGGGATAGCTGGGTTGCTCAGCTTGCTCGCCGAACCCCAAGGCTCTAGGGCGAAGGTAATCCCCTGCGAAGGTTTTACTTGCAGTGCCAATGGCGGTTTCAAGGATACTTTCAGCGATTGAACCGATGCTATTAAGTTGCCAAAAACAAATGTTGAACCGCATTGGCATCGAACTGATACCCACCCTCCAGCCCCTCCCTTCCATCCAGCCTCTCCCCTCCAACACTCCATCCAACCCCTCCATCCAAACCCTGCCCTTCGCCTCTCCATCAGCCCATCCGGCTCTTCCCCTCCGTCCACTCCACCCCTGCCCAATTTCTTCTTTTTGGCACTTCTAGTCTGCCTGTGCGCTCTTGGCCAGGCATTCTGGTGGGACATGCCGAGCGGAGCGGGCGACGCGATTCTAGCCTTGGCCAAAACCAAACCTACACGGAATTTGCCCTCTGGTCTGGCGTTGCCCGCCCCTGCCGTAAGCCCCTATATTACATGGGCATGTATATATACACATGGAATATAAAGGGTTCAGGGCTAAATAATGGAGAATCACATGGAGAGGAACACAAAGGCGACTATGTGAATTGGGGTTTTGGGTTGTAGTGTTTGTACATGACCGTAGACCGTTCAACCAAGTATTCGTCATGACTTTTCATGGGAGACTATACCCTTTAAACTCCTACTAGCCCCCTTTATAACCCCCATGATGCTCCCCTATATAATCCCCTATATAACCACCCTTTTCGGAGTTTAGGCTATGGCTCATATTCATACTCAAGCATGCGCATTAACAACTGGCAATACTATTCGCATGGATGCTCCGAAAGGCATGGCCAAGCTAGCGATCCCTTGTACTTACTGGTGGCTCAACAAGCGGGGCCACCACAGAACATTAGATGTCAGCCCGCCAGAAATTGTTGCAAATCTCCGGCCGCGCAATAGACCCGGGACAATGCATCACGGCACATTTTCGTGTTATGAAACCAAAGAATACGCCTCCAATACACTGGCACCCCTGGCTTGCCCAAGCCCTCAAACAAATGCCGCCCTGATGTCCAGGCTGTATATGCACCAGTCATTCAAATTTCACAAGTTCATACACGGGATCGAAAGGTAATCCGGAATAAGACATGTCTAGATGTACAAGTTGGGCGTCAACGGTGCACTCACGTATGCACATACGTGGCGGCCGTACATGTACCCTAGTGTGGTTTCCACCTGTACACGCTTCAAAACTTTGGCTCAGTAACACAACCCAATAGACCAAGCTCACAGCTTCGCTAGACCATGAGTCTCCGGGTGATTTGAAGTGTGAGTTCAACATCCTCAAGCTGAAAAGAGAGAGCCCCCAGGGCGAAGATACACATCTAAAGCTTAGACACAAGGCGTTCTGAGGCTGCTGGAACCGTATTCTGTCAATCCTCAACAGGTGCTCTACCTTTTGTAACTATGCTTAGTAGTGCTTTGTAAATCTTTGAAGGCTTTAAATCTTTGCAGGGTGACGCAGCCTCTTCGAAAGCTTCTGTCGGGGAGTCGGGGGTTTGCCACCAAGCTATACCTGGTCTGTAACTTCCCTGCGAGACTCTCACCTACTGCACTTTGAGTGGCTCCAGGGCCGCTCCCCCTAAACCCTATAATCCCCCTTAAGAAGATACAATATGGGGTATATGGGGATCTTACTAGAATATACTCCAAGCATCTCAAAGCCATATTCTGTCTACATAAGGGGGACTATAAACCCTAAATCCCGAAGCCCAAACCCTGGTCATACCGGGCCTGCCAGGTCTGCGGTAGGGTACTATGGCAGGATATCAGGATCCCTTACAGCAACCCGAGAAACTCCATGATGTAGGCCCCTGATGCATAAACCCCCTCCTTTTCAGGGCATTAATATTAGGTTCGTTATTCTGATCCTATGAAGGGGGGGGTTATGAATCCGGGGTCTGGGCTACCCGAAATGACCTAAACCTGGGCGGCATGGGGCTTTTCTACGGATTGATTGCAAGCGGGCAGCGCTTTTGGCTAGGGTTTGGTACTCAAATCAATCGACGGGCATGGCAAATGCTCAGAATTGGGTCTCTAAACTTCACAAAAAAGGAAGCCCAAATTCCGAGATGCCTTTTAAATATCCGTCCGCTTGAAAAAGGAATGAAGCATTTTAAATGAAATTCTGTGCTTGGGGCCTCTCCCCTTGTCAAGTTGTCAAGGAAATTCGAAGGGACCACTGTAAAGAAGCGTTGCAAAGCCACAGCGGTGCCCTACAGTTGTCATGTCAATGATGGCAAAAATACCTTGCCCCTGACGTGCCCGCACTTGTTCTCTACATTGGTCCCTAAAAACTTGAGACTTGAATTGCTGGTTCTTGGGAGGGAATAAGGGAAGACATTATGTAGGGATTATGTAGGGATTATATTCCCTTATTCCCTACTAAGAACCAGTAAGTTGACTAGTCCCCAAGGATCCTTCCAGCTGTCTCAATAGTAAGTTCCCACTTTGCGGTGGTGCACGGCTGCTGCGGCATTGGGACTCGCGACGTCCCCGCCCACAACCTCTGCATAGCCTGGTTGTGATTGAAAACATCGGTTTAGGTCTGGGCCTTGTACCCTAAACCCAAAGGTGCAGGGTTTAGGGATTAGGATTTGGGCCTTGCATCAGGATTTAGGCCTTACAAGGCTCAGGGCTTGGGGCTTAGGGCTTGCGGCCTTGTAAAGGCTCAGGCTTCAGGATCTAGAATTTAGGCCTTACAAGGCTCAGGGTCAGGGATTTGGGATTTGTGCCTTATAAGGCTCCAGGCATTGGGCTTACGATTTGGGGCCTTGTAAGGCTCAGGGCTTTGGGTCCAAGACTTGCGCCTTGGAAGGCTTGGGGTCTAGGGTTAAGGGTTTTGGTCTAGGGTTTAAGGGTGGGGTAGGGCTTGGACTTGGAATTTATAAGGTTTACAAGGTTGAGCGTGCTTTCTGTTTGAGATGTATGGGAGACTTGCATTGGAGCACCCCTAATGACCCTGAATCTATTGTATGACTATTCGACCGACTATAAGTATACAACAGTCGGTTGGGGTTACGCGAATCTTCGAATTTCACACGACCCATCGGATGCTGCGGTAAGTACGGTCCAGACTTCAGCCCCCTTTAGGCTTGAACGACCCAGCGCCAAAAACTAATCGAGTGACAGAGGTAGACTCGCAAAAAAAGGGGAAAGCAGAACCAACAATGGGGATGTCTCAGATTCGGTGCCCTTCAAAAGCCTAAGGCTCCTCAAGAGGTTCCAGAACCTCATGTTTCAAACCTCGAGTTGGATCAACTTGGAACTCCCAGATAGCCACAGAACCTACCCAGTGATCGCCCGCATCCATGCGCGAAATCATCTTGCATTCGAGGTATGCGCACGCTGACCTGACACTTGTGCCAGCAGCCAACATGCAGTTTAAGGGTTCCTCATAAAGCAGTACGCTGACAGAGACTTCTACGGGATTCTGGGAATCCCTCTTGAAAACCCAGTAATTATTATATTAGGAGAAACGTCAACGGGAGCGGGGCCTACCAGCCAAGATCAGCCAAGACTAAAGAAGGATGACACCGGTGCCTGTCCAGCTCTCAGCAAACATTGCTGCTAAACCTCTGCCACTAGAAGCATACAGTAAGCAAAAACAAAGCAGCCCGAAATATGCTCAACGACATATTGGAATGGGTTTTTTGTTCCTCATTTTCTACCTCCGGAACCTCATTTTCGGAACCGGCTGTTTTTGCTGACAGGGCAAGAAGGGCTACATAAATGAACAAGAGCATGCTTGTCAGGTCAACCCCTGTTGCAGCAACAGTTACAACAAAGAGGTAGCAGAAGATTCAATCGGTCTGTAATCAAAGAAGCTTCAGGGACGGGTGCCGTCCGGAGGAATCCTCCAAGAGAAGCCTCCCTCATTAGGGTTGTGAATACAGGCTGTCTGATTGAGGTGTAAAGGAAGGAACCCTGCTCAACAATCTTTAGCCCGCAAAACCGTAATCCATAAACCCCCTAAAACCCTACGCAATCCCTAATCCCTAAAGCCTGGAACCCCTAATCCCATACCTCCCGTTAGATCCCAAGCCACCGGAGAATGGCGGCGCCGTTGCTTCCTTCGATGTGGTCCACGCCCTCCAAGCGGTCGACGCCGGGAGCAAAGCGCTGCAGGAAGTGCTTCATCACCTGCCTCAAGAACATGTCGCGGCTTTGGGTTTTGGCATTTAGGGTTCAAGTGCTCATTTAGGGTTCAAGCGCTTTGGGATACATCTCCTGCCTAAAAACGTGTACTTGAAGCTTGCCGCACGTTGGGTTTGTGATTTGTTTGCTCAAGATCCTCACAGTGAAGCGCACGCACCCAATACTGATCTGGGGGAGTGTAAATGCTGTTGTCGACCTTGTGGCCTGGTACAAGCCTAGATAACTGGGGGATCTAATGTTCCTCTGGGAGCTATTTTAGAGAATTTGTAGGTACATATGGGATAATGTCGAGGAAGCTGTTTTCCATAATGGCCATCTGGGGAACTGGAAGTTTGTTCAATATTGATCTATATTTCAGCTTCGACACTAGGATCTCATAGCCCGTTTTCCTGAAGTGCTCAACTCTGACCTCTCTGCCTCTGGAATGCCCCCGGCGCAGCACTTCTGGCTGTTACAGAAGCCGCAGCACTTTGTGCTCCCAGCTAGCCGGCACAATAGAGAACGTGACAAGCTTGAGAAAATCAATATAAGCACTATTCGAGCCCTAAACCCTACATCCTTTGCCCTAAACCCTCATGCCTACACCCTAAATCCTAAACGCGAACTCCTAAACCCTATAAAGCCCTGAACTCTAAACCCTAAATCCTACACCACAGAAGGGAGCCATCTCTGGATTGCAATCCAGCAACAACGTCTGAGGCTTTCCCTCCTGCGGCACACATCAATGCCCACTAAGTACATTAAGGTTTGAACTTTGATACGTAAGAGAGGTTTAGGGGTTTAGGGTCCAGGGTTGAAGGTTTAGGGTTTGGGGTTTAGGGATTAATTAGGGTCAACCCCAGACCCTAGTGCCTGGAGTAGTTTAAGGTTTAAGGCGAAACTCAAAACCATAAAACTGTTTCTGAGGGGGGGTCGGGGCTTAGGACGCTGTCTAGGCTCCGTTGATGCGGCTGCGATTGGTCGGGGATCTTAAGTCATTGCCCGCAGAGGGCCTTAGGGCAATAGATCTAAGATGACCCCTGGCCACTTCAACTGAACGCCGCATCTCAATACGCGCTCCTGCGGCATCCTAAGTTCTTGAGAACCCCCTACCCGTCGGATAATGCGTAGGATAACAGTGGTTGTAACTTGCCATGGCCATATTTGGATTACCTGAAACCCCGCCTAAGCCCCCTGACGACCTAAAGCCTAAACCTAGAATTGATCACCTCCCCCAAATGAGTAACTGCCCCCGGAAACTAGTACTGAACCCCTCAAATTAATGACATTATGCATTAGGGTCAGGTGGTGGGTGGGGCGGTTCATTATTAGGAGGAGGGGAAACAATCTTCTGCTGCAGCCCCTTGGCAATTACGGCGATACAATACACTAGCATTATGAACAATACTCATCCCCTAATCCCTTAACCCAATAGTATATATCCCACACATGCTTCGATGTCCCTAAGCCCTTCCCCGGAGTCCTCCAGGATGTTCAAGCTGAAGGTATCACCAATTCGAAGCAAAGGTTCCTGAGGCTCAGGCGAAACAGCTACCATGTAAGCAATGGAAAATCAATTGGAACATAGAAGCCAGATGGAAATTACGGGTATCTGGGAATCATATCTGTTTGAAAGGAGTTTTCAGGGTGCCGTTAGCAGGTGGGAGCTCTGACAACAAGGCTGAGATGCATACTGTTGACATGCGGAGAATGGGAGGCACATAATTGCCACATGAGACTGATATACGGGAAGCTGCCGCCTGAAAATTCCTAAGCCCTTTAAGCCCTACACACTAAACCCTCTGCCCTACACACTACGCCCTGAACACTAAACCCTAAACCCTAAACACTAAACCCTAAAGCCGAAACCTCAACACTAAACCCTAAAAACTGAACCATGTGTTTGGGCTTCTGGTAGCTCCAGGCTTGGGGACTAAAGAATGGAGGGCCTCAAGGCTCGCACAGCTGACGCAGAAGGCATTCCGAGGCCAACTCAGAGCAGCCCCTTTTCTGGGTTGCTGTTAAGGAACTTAAATTAAGTGGTTTAGGGTTTAGGGTTTAGGGTATAGGGTTTAGGGTATAGGGTATAGGGTTTAGGGTTTAGGGTATTATCCCCCTATAATGGAGAATCAAATGGAAAAGAAAATGGAAAATGAAATGGAAGCTGGGGGAATATAGGGAGTTAAGGAACTTAAATTAAGTTGAGTTACCATTCTATCCGTTTTATGATAACTTAATTCAAGTTCCTTAACAGCAACCCAGTTTTTGGAAACCCCTGTGGTTTAGGTTTGGACTTCCAGCAGCTCCAAGGGCCAGCATCAGCCGTGCCCTACGGAATGATGTTCCATCATCTTCCGCAGCACCCAGGGAGCCCAATACCCTTAAATTAACGAATATACCATAAATCATCTTAAGGGTCCTAGTGCCAGTTAAGGTAACTTCTTTTATGAAGAGGCATTAGGCTCTCTGAGCAATCATGTGCTACTTTGCTCGAACTCAACATTATCGAAGACAGTAATTTCCCTAAATAAGGGGACCCCAAGATAGACCCCAAAGACTATCATAGCCGCCCAAAGGTTTTCAGTGGGACGCGGAAACTTGAAATCCAAGTCACCGCGCAGCTTCTGAAAATGCTGGCTGCAGCGGCGTGGCAAGTAAACCGCAAAACTGGGAAGAAAAGGAACAAGGAGGCCCCCTCTGACAGGGTGGTTTTTGAGGGAAAAAACCCCAAACCCACTTGAGAACAGTCTGGACGGTTGGGGTGGGCCTCTAGCTACCCCTCTCTCAACCTAAACCCTAATTATTACCAAACCCTACTCCCTAGACCCCTAATTTTGGGACACCCATAGATACTCCAAGCCGCCATGGCGCGCTCCTTGGCGATGGTGACGGAAACCTGTTCTTGCAGATTCGGGAGCGGGATGGGGGGGTGGTCCAGAAAGTAGGGGTATCTTTAAAGGGGAAGAAAGGTGCTATTAAATCTTTAAAGGTTTTGTGGCTGGGGTTTTCGGGTTATAGGTATAGCGCCATTCCCACTACAATTTGGTAGGCTCAGGCACTTGTCTGCCTCCTGGTGCTACGAGCTGTTGCGGGCTGGCTGCCGCGCGCGAGGAGGAGGCGTTCAAGCTTTGGGCCTTCTCGTTCAGGGGCAGGAATGCTTTTATAGGGTTAGCTGCTACAGCTCAAAGGAAACAGTGGGCTCTTGCTGCTGAGGTTTCTCTCCGCTACTGAGCTTCTCTTCGCAAGCACAGCGCTCGCTTCACATTCTCAAGCCACGGTGTGCCCGGACTGGACGTCTCAAAAAGGGGTAATCGACAACGTCATGGCATCGAGTTCACACCGGATGTATTAAGAGCCAACAGGCACATCTTTAGGTCATAGAACAGGTTTGTCATCCCCTTATCGTTCGCATACCAGCAACCTGGGATATTAAATCCCTGCCATCACGCCACCCGGACCCTTCCTTCAACCAAAGTGCCAAAGAAACAGGCCGTCCAACAAACCATTTTCTCGCAACCGTGATTTCTTCTACGCTGTGGCCAGTACACTCCGTGTAAAACCTCATGATGTTCCTGATGAATCCCAGCAGCAAGCCATGCTTAGACCTCTTTTCGGATTATGCACATCCAAACCAACCGGCAGGCCCCAAACTGTAAAACCCTAATCCCTAAAGACAACTTAAGTCCAGCTCAATCTATGCTTGAAACTATACCTATATGTGGCCGACCCGCGCTAAAGCAGGAAATCCGAAATACCAAAGGCCTATACCTGGAACATAGACTCATGTACGTGGAAGGTAGTCTTCGGAGTCCGTTGGTTTTGGTCCTGGTGGTGTCTCCTCGATACACACCTAGCCATCAATAGCCTGAAGACTAAACCACTGCTAACCATACCCAAAACGACTCTAATCAGAACCTGAAGACTGCAACCACAGCTAAATATACCCAAAACGACTCTAACGGGGACTGCAAGCAGGGAAACCCAACAGTGTAGCAGGAATATAAAAGGCATTTGAGGACCCTGGCAAATATTTTCCTTTTACATCTATTACATTACTGTTTAAAAAGCCAGGAATTTCCACACCATGTAGAATTTCCTGTGAAACTCATAGGTTGAAGCAAGCCAAGCAGCACCCAACGGCTTACCTGGGCTGCTGTTAAGGAACTTGAAAAAGTTACCACAACGGGCTTAAATGGTAATTAAAATTGGTTTCCACCATAGAGTAACTTAGTGTAAATCATAATGGGGCTATATAGTAATTAATATGGTTTCCCCATTTTAGTAACTGTAATAATTTCCTCAGCAACCCAGTTACTGGAAGCTGGCGTCACCCAACTGGCAACCATGGCGTGCCGAACTCCAGCCTTCTTGGCCTCAGCTTTCTGAAAGGTTTCGTGGTTTAGGGTTTAGGGATCAGTGTTTCAGGGGTTAGGGTGAAGGTTTAGGGTTTAGGGGAAACGGTGTAGGCTTCGGGTTTAGGATTTAGGGTGTAGGTTGAGGGTTTAGGATTCAGGGCAGGCCTGTGTTCGAAAAGGTGCGTAAGCGGCTTTTGTGCATGAGGTTTCCTTGCAGGAGTCTAGCGTCCTGATTAGGGCTTGGCGTTCTTCTTTGGTTTAAAAACAAGTAGACCCCTGATTAACAAACCTTTTTCCTGCCGGCCTGAAATGACAAGATCCCTCTGAACAGATCTCTTGCTATCATGAACAGGGAGTTCTCATGTTGTACGATCTGAGTTGCAAACAGCAGTTAACCATGCTTATAACACAGGTTAACCTTTCAGAAAAAACACTGCCAAAAAAACTAAACCCACAACCCAAAGCCGTTGTATGGTTTAGGGCTGTACAAGTGGTCATACTAAAATCTACTGCTGCTGCTACTACTGCTGCTACTGCTACTGCTACTGTTACTGCCGCTACTGCCGCTGCCGCTGCCGCTGCCGCTGCCGCTGCCGCTGCTGCTGCTGCCGCTGCTGCCGCTGCTGCTGCGGCGGCTGCTGCTGCTGCTGCTGCTGCTGCTGCTGCTAGTGCTAGTGCTACTGCTAGTGCTACTGCTACGGCTACTGCTACTGCTACGGCTACTGCTACGGCTACTACTACTGCTACTGCTGCTACTACTACTACTACTACTACCACTACTACTACTACTACTACTACTACTACTACTACTACTACTAGCTCGGAATTGGAGAAATGAGTCGCTGTGACGATGTAAAGGGAGCTCGCCAGGCGCCCGAGAGCTTTGGAAAGATCCTTGTCCTCACGGCAGGCTTTGAGGTTTAGCTTCGGGTTTAGGAATTAGGGTTTGGGTTATATGACCGTAGGAATGGGGAATCAAATGGAAAAGCACATGGAAAATCGTAAGGGAAGGAGCTGCTTCAGCAATATATAGGGTTCAGGATTGCCTGACTGATGGTAAGTCGGGAATGGGTAAACGGATTCCTCTTATCCCTATGAGGGTAGTAGTTGTTATTCTCTGTTCCACTCCTTCATTACCTGACGGCAATACATTTCTAACGCAGTTTGTGCTGCCGCTTGCATGGCTGAGCCAGTTTAAGGTTTAGGAATTGGCTGTATGCCCATCATTCAAGTACTTACCAAGTCCCAATGACCACGAAGTGCCAATTAGGGTTGGACCTGTTTTTGGTTCTGGCCAGGCAGGGAAATTTCCAGTTTGTTAAGGGTCGCTTTTGTCAAGGGTCGCTTGAAAGCAGCTTATGGAGATATATCGGGAACCCAGGGCTCAGAGATATCACCCACATAGTGGGGAATCACTTCAAGTGGACAAGAAAATGTCTACGTGCTTTCGGGCTTAAGGGTGCCTGCGCGGGGCACTCTCACGAACTTTGGTGGACTAGCCAATGCGATCCCAAATGGCATGTTTATCGGGGTAGTGTATTGTAAATGCCTATGCCAAAATCATTCTTCCTACAGCTCCTATATAGCCATACCATAATCTGCCCCCAAGTCCTCTTCTAGGTACCCAGGCCTCAACATCAGAGACAGCCGAAGGCACTCACCTAAAGAAAGCTACTACCCATAGTTGCAATTATGCAAGGACAGTGCTTTATGGGCCCCTGTGGCTCCACGTTAGTCGTGAGGGGCGGGCTGGACATTCCGGCACGACTGTGGGCACAATCTACTTTCCGTCCTGGGACTTCGTTTCGTTTTTGCCCTGTCAACGTGAAGCTGCTGAACTTAATTCTTCATTAATCCGAACAACCCCAAACCCCGTATTTCCTTCTATACCCCTACTTGATTTTCCACTCTTACCCTACACCCTAAGCCCTAATCCCTAAACCTCTAAGTTCCCAAAGTGTAGTCGCCATTTTTTCCATTATCCCTATATAACCCCAAAACAATACCCCCAGGCCTGGCTCTTTGCAGCTGCTGCTTTGCTCTTCTGCGAGAGCTTTTTGCCCATCTGCATGCCGGCCTCTGCTCACGAACAAAAACGAACTTGCAGTCTTCAGGTTACTGTTCGAAGTGCCCCCTGGTACAAAGACTGTGTCGAGAATATACAAGTTACAAAGGCATTTCCGATGGTAGCTATACTCAGAGATCCTTTTGCACACCGTGCTCATGACAAGCTCATAATCCTAGGGTACAAGACTAGCTTCGCAAATCGCCCAAGAACCCAAGGCAAAAGAGAAATGGATATGTGGACTCCCACCGCTGTCTTGCTTTTGACAGACACTTCGGACAAGTTCGCTGCAACTTTGCAGCGACACGGCGTGCGTGTCATTCGGAATTAAATAGTGCCTAAAAAGTGAAGTTGTCACACAAATGGTTTCTTGGGGTACAACATACAGTTGCCCGTGTTCTTGTCCATGTGCTTCTCCAGTCTTGGGATCATGTGTCTAAACCCTAATCCGCACGATTCCTACATATGTATATATATATATACATGTACGCATACATACATGCATCTATGCGCATACCCCTATAGAACCCCTACATATCCCTTCTTTGACCTTACATATGGCTGGTTGTCAAAATTATGGTCCCTTTTTGGATCCCTATTATAATGCGGCACCTAATGTTTAGGGTACCCAAAAGGGACCGTGATTTTGACATCCACCCATATCCCTACATACAAATATCTCTCCCTGGTGCAAAAACATGCTTTGCCCCTGCTCGCCTCCTCGAAGCTGTGAAGCACCTGGGGTTTCAGGCGAAGAAGTCTAGGGACTTTAGGAGGGACCCCTAATAGGGACCCTTAATCCCATTACCATATATAACCCTTATATAGTCATTATATAACCCCTATATCCCTAGGTAGTCCCCATATTAACCCCCATAAGC